TGTCCAATTTTTAACTTGAACTGAAATCTTTAATCGGAAATTAGTGATTTGAAGAAAATATGCACAAATATGCAATATTTCCTAAAATATGCACCAAGTTGCCAAAATATGCATTTTTTAATTGGCTTATTTTAATCAAAAAACATAAGATATGCATAGAAAACTTATAATTTTGTTAATATACGTCTTAATGACAAATATGCATTTTGCATATAATCCGAGCCTTAGTGATGATAATAGTTTATTATTGCCCTTGGTCAGTAATGAAACCAGTGAAAAAAAAAACAATTTTACAACCTAAGTAATGATACTTTTAGAACTAGTGAAAAAAATTATTTATAAAAAAATATTTTTTTATTGTGCATTTCATTGCAATTATGAATTTTTTATCAAAACTTCGTCAAGTGTTGAATTGTTTATCAAAAGTGACAAAAAGGATTTTTTAGCAGAGCTTTTTATTACCCGAGATGCGTAGCCTATAGAAATCTTCTCTACTATATTTTATACAATTTTTTTTCACTACTAGCATATTTATCACAGAGAAATACAAAAGTGAAGAATATAACCTTACTTAATGAGCATATTGTCGTCATTCACAACTATTATTTTTTTAAATTTATTATTACCTAAAGTAATTAATTACTTACCTACCTGAGTTAGTAATTTAAATTGGTAGAATTATTTTATTTTTAGCGTAAATAAGGTTATGTAATTTTTTTACTTCTGCATTTATTAAAGAAATTTTCTAACCTCACAATATAAGAAATTTGTTAAAATAACATAGAAATTAGAACACACAAAAGTGTTAATTTGCCCTAAACCAGTAGTGTTTCAACATGAAATAAGCCCATTTGTTGTTTTGACAAAGTCAAAAAAATTAGAGGTGGGGTTATTCTAATGTTTTAATAAAAAAGTTTGTCTTTTTTTATTTGATTTTGCATTAATTTCATCTCAAAATACTTTTGTTAGTACTTGTGATGATAATAGTTTCAATAAATAATATTGGTATTCATTGTTGGCCTTGGTCAGTAATGAAATGATTACTGGCCAGTAAAAAAAACAATTTTGCAACCTCTTGACAAACTAAGTAATGATACTTTTTACAACTAGTAGTGAAAAAAATAATTTATAAACAAAGTGATGGAATATAAATCGTGGTCGTCACCTCCATAAAGCCCCATTTCCCCTAGGATGCAAAGCAAACAATTTTAACCGTTTATACCCAACATTCATTGTTATGGATTCTGAAGTTTATGGTTAATAAAAGCGAAATTTACGTTTTAAAACGCCTGTCTCTTACGCTAGCCATGTGAATCGAAATTTCCATTACAATACATTCAACGTTAAAATATTTTTTCTTTTTTTTTCTCGAAAAAAAAAATCAGGGCATTCATCCATAAAAAGCCGCATTTGTGCGAATCGGAAACCTTTGTGAACTTCAATTTTTTTATTGACTCATGAAAAGATATCAAAAAAATTAATTTCTCGCTGGATTTGTTTCCGAGCGAATTAATTAGATTCCTAATTAGCCAACCAAAATTTATAATAAATTACTTTTGGCTCCATTCGAACTAAAATGCGTTAATTCTTGTCAAAAATGAGCGAAAACAGGGCCTAAATCATGTGATGCACGGGCCATTAAGTGCCCTAATTTACAGAGGCTACTCAAAAGAGGACTTCCAAGTTAACTCGATGGGGATTCATTGTTGGTTTTAGCAGTGCACATAGCAAATAATTAGTTTTAGCACAAACTAAACTCAACACTAACAAAACGAAATTTTATTCAAACGAATTTCGTTTCAACCCTATTTTCATAAAACTGCTCCACTTATTATAATCACCCTAGTTTGCTTTAATTGATCCATTTAGGAACACTTGGGTATTAGGGTTGTGAAGAGTAATAGCTTGTCAAATTACTTTATCAATAGCTCAATTATCGACTAGTTTTTTACACGGCCTCAATTTCACGACAATGCCAACAATTATTTAATTACGACAGTTTTAGTTGAAAAAAGATTGACGGACTTGTATTTTTAGAAAAAAAAAAAAAAACTGTAATTGATCAAAATTAGACTCTGAAACTAAAATTAAACGCATGACCCCTTTTACTCGACCAAAATTCATTATCTACTTCGACGGAAGTAAAAGTCGCAAGTAACGAGTTTTTAAGCAAGCAAAATACAGTGCGGTCACTAATAATGCTAATTTTCAAACAAAAAAATAATTTAATCAAACTTTCGCTATTTTTGTGTAACAAAACCTTTGAAGTGTCCAAACATCCACTAATAGAATAATAGAATAGAAATGTTTTAACAGTCTAGAGCAATTTATCTTTTAAGGTTGGTAACACGAGAAATGCCAAGTTGAATGTCATGAAAGAAAATTAATTATCGAAACTTTCATTAAAGTAAGAATATTTTTAGAATATTGAGTTTAAAAAATGAATACCCGCTACTGAGTCGGAATTTCTGTTGTTAGTTACTATGGTAATTTTTATTCTGCAACTTTTATTACCATAGTTACATTACGTTTCTATAGTAAAACTTTATTTTCAGGCGACTCGTTTAGGATGGGAAAGGGGGGTTCAAAAAAATTTTAAAAAACCAGCCACTGTATTTTAATTTAAATTTTCAAAACAATGACTAAGCTGTGATTAGTATCTGTTGCAAATTGCAAAAAAACAAATAAAAATTGAAATATTCAATGTGATTTTACTTCTCCAAAATGACTATCTTGCTTTAATTACTGTTACAAATTGCCGTGGACAGTCAAGGTCAAACTCTTTAAAAATTTTGTATTGTACATAATAATAAGGTTATGTTATTAAAGGAATTACAGCTATTTGGAACAGATATTAGCTCAATTTATAGACAAAGTTGTAAAAATACAACCAAAAAATAAAGTTTCTTCAGTACTCAATATTTTTAGAAAAAATGACCCGCCACTGGGCCGGAATTTCTGTTGTTACTATGGTAATTTTCATTCTGCAACTTTTATTACCATAGTTACATTACGTTTCTACAGTAACACTTTATTTTCAGGCGACTCGTTTAAGATGGGAAAAGGGGGTTTCAAATAAATTTAAAAAKCCAGCCACTATATTTTAATTTAAATTTTCAAAACAATGACTAAGCTGTGATTAGTATCTGTTTCAAATTGCCAAAAAAACAATTAAAATTTGAAATATTCAATGTGATTTTACTTCTCCAAAATGACTATCTTGCTTTAATTACTGTTACAAATTGCCGTGTTATTAAAGGAATTCATTTACAGCTATTTGGAACGATATTAGCTCAATTTATAGACAAAGTTGTAAAAATACAACCAAAAAATAAAGTTTCTTCAGTACTCAATATTTTTAGAAAAAATGACCCGCCACTGGGCCGGAATTTCTGTTGTTACTATGGTAATTTTCATTCTGCAACTTTTATTACCATAGTTACATTACGTTTCTATAGTAACACTTTATTTTCAGACGACTCGTTTAGGATGGGAAAAGGGGGTTTCAAATAAATTTTAAAAATCAGCCACTATCCATTTTTATTTTTCTGAATCGGCTGAAATTTAACATACCCAGATTTTTACATTTCTGGACGAATTATAGCTTCAAGACACCAAAAAAGTTAGTTTGGGTCGTGTGTGTGTATGTCTGTCTGTAAACAGCATATCTCGAGAACGATAAGAGCTAGAAACTTGAAATTTGGTATGTAGTAAGGGGACATAGTACGAAACATTTGGTAAAAATCGGTCGCACCGTTCGGCCACAAAGACCAAAAATCAGAATTATACGGTTGAAGATACAATAAATAAATTTATGGAGATTAAAAAAACGTTGTTTAGTTTATTGGTGCACTCTGTTTAGCTATTTTTTTTAATCTTAAGGCTATTCAAGCCGGTCAAAAGAGTGTCTTAAAGGAATTGTTATTTTCTCTTTGTTTTTTTAAGAGAGAGGATTAAAAGCCCATATTTGTGAAGTCACGATTCTCGAAAAAGTTGATGAACAAGAGGCAAAACAGTTTAGGCCTTTGTGAAATTAAATCGTCCGTAAAATTTTTGCCAAGGGATAGGAAACAATTTCATTCCGGCGAACTTTTCCAAGTTGTCAAATCGAATTTGTGCATTTTCGTCAATTTAGTTATCCTAAAATCCCTCGGCCTGCTTTTCATTAAAATAATCGCAAAACGCATCTTGTCCGGTATTGAGATTGCATCAGTGGAAAAGTGAGTTCTTGCGCCACTTTTACCTTTTCGAAACATCAATTTTATTCAGTCTCACCTGAACTCGAAATTGCCATTTTCCATTTCCCTGATCAAAGTATGCGTGTCATATCCGGTCAAAATACCAATTGTTTTTGTGTGGCAATGTCTCACATGGCCAACTTTCGATTTGTCTCTTACCTTTCGCATGGAAGGTGCGCCAAGGTGAACGAACGAGACGACGTCTTCGAGGGCCGCACCGACGCCGACGACGCACGTCTACAAAACCACGCGCCACCGAAACAACTGCTGATTGCAAGATTCACAGCGTCGAGACGCTCGCTCTCACCGTCGATGTGAGAGGAGGACATGCGCGCCGAAACTGACACGATACACTCTTTCCACTCTTTTATAACCGAGGGGGTGGAGAACGACCGGCCCGGACTCTTACCCCGTTAGGCCCACATATTACCGCCGAAAGCCGGAGGAAAATCGCACGATTTTGCACAACGAGCGATTTTTCAGGTGAAAAGATGCCTTAATTAGCGAAAGCGCCCCTGAAATACCGGCTTTAAGGCCCTTTGATGTCTTCAAACACAAAAAGATTTAATAACATGTCTTCGCAAATTTTCAAAACAACGACTAAGCTGTGATTAGTATCTGTTTCAAATTGCCAAAAAAACTATTTAAAATTGAAGTATTCAATGTGTTTTTATTTCTCCAAAATGACTATCTTGCTTTAATTACTGTTACAAATTGCCGTGGACAGTCAAGGTCAAAGTGTTTAAAAATTCTGTATTGTACATAATAATAAGGTTATGTATAAGCTATTTGGAACATATATTAGCTCAATTTTATGTGCAAAATTTGCAAAAATACAAACAAAAAATAGAGTTTCTTAAATACTCAATGTGGTCTCATTGGTCAAAGTCTTTAAAAGTTCTGTATTATACATAATAATAACCTTACTTTATTAATGGAATTCATTCACAGCTATTTGGAACAGATATTAGCTCGATTTTTTGTGCAAAATTGCAAAAATACAAACAAAAAATTGAGTTTTTTTAAGTAGTCAATGTGGTCTCATTTTTCTAAAATAACTATCTTTCTTTAGTTACTGTTACAAATTGCCGTGGACGGTCAAGGTCAGTCGTAAAAAAATCTGTATTGACATAATACATCATAACTGTAAATAAAAGAATTCATTTACGGCAATTTGTAACGGATATTAGCAAAATTTACAACATATTAAAAACCAAAAAAGTTTTAGAAGAATTTAAGACATTAATTAAAACTTTAACAAAAATTACTCAAACTTACTTTAGCATTTGTTACAAATTGCTTAAAGTTGTGAAAAACTAGATTCCTATAAATTGCAAAGTGGCTTCAAAAACGATTTTTTCAATTGTCTATAGTAATTTGAAACACATATTAGCTCAATTTTATGTGCAAAATTGCAAAAATACAGACAAAAAATAGAGTTTCTTAAATGGTCTTATTGTTTTTTAAATAACTATCTTGCTTTAGTTACTGTTACAAATTGCCGTGGACGGTCAAGGTCAGTTGTAAAAAAATTTGTATTGTGCATAATCCATCATGACTGTGAATAAAAGAATTCATTTACAGCATTTTGTAACAGATATTAGCTCAATTTACAACATATCAAAAACCAAAAAAGTTTAGAAGAATTTAAGACATTAATTAAAACTTTAACAAAAATTACTCAAACTTACATTTCTTACAAATTGCTTAAAGTTGTGAAAAATTAGATTCCTATAAGTTACAAAGTGGCTTCAAAAACTATTTTGACAATTGTCTACAGCAATTTGAAACACATATTAGCTCGATTTTGTGTGCAAAACTTGGAAAAAAAGAACTCTAGAATTAGATTTTTTGAGTAAATTATGATTGTCTACCGCAATTTAGGACAGATTTTACGTACGCAACTGTAATTTATCAAATAACTAAACAAATTGATTTTTTTCTACATCAATTTGAAACATATATAAGCTAGAATTTATGTGAAAATACGAAAAATCTGTTAAAAATACTCTTGAAACTTGAAACTAAGATTACTGAATTTTAATTTAGTAATGTTACAAATTGCTAAAAAGACAAACTAGAAGAAATTTGAATAGTTTTAACTCAATAGACTGAAAAACTTTAATAAACCTGACATGCGAAAATTGAAAA